TTTGGTAAAATTGTCTTCCTTTTGAAAATTTGTGTATTTGTAATAATTTTGAATGACTTGTTTTTTTGTCGCTAGAAATACATTAATACTTTTCTTCGTGTGTGTGTTCTGAGAAAGAGGATTTGAAAACTTTATTTTAAAATATCGTACTGCACCTATTTTACGTAAAAGAACCCCATGGTTTTTAAGCTAGTGGACATAATACCAGACAAAAAGAAAACAAAAGTTAATCCTTTTCCTTTCGACCCTCTAACTTGGTCAAACTTAAGATTAGCTTTTCAAATAAATTCCCAACTGACGACACGTTGATATTGTTATAACTTACACAGCAGAAAGTGTACTAACTATCTGACGCGTACAAGCAAGAATGGAACAGGCAAATGACAAATGCGTGTAGCGACGCCCGGAGAGATGCTATTCCTTCTGTTATTATCTGCTATTACGCCTCGTGTCAGCAATGTTTCCTAGACGCCTGTCTCTTGAAAACAATCAACATAAACAAAGGCGTAACACAATAGCAGCTTTCATCTAGAAGCTCGGGGGTATTAGCGAGCCGAAACAAAGGAAAATACGCACGAAAGTAATCGAAAGAAGTGGTTCGAAAGAGTAACAGAAGCAGAAAAAAATTGGGGTGACGTAAATGGAAACGTATAGACGTCGAGTACCACTGCCATGACGTCACGCAGTCAGCTGTTTGGCCTTCTCCTTTGTATAACAGTTAATAGTTAGAGATAGATTTGTTTAAATAAAGAAGAAGTATTACTTTGTATGCCTGGAAAATTGAGAAGTATAAAGAGTTGACCGTCATAATTTTAATAGGCGACAAAAAATTAAATGTCCAAGTTGATAAATTCAGTTCAGTAAGGAACATAGCTTTGTCCATAGAATACCATAAAATTAAATATTTACCATTTTATTTTTTTAAATTAAATTTATATCACGCAATATGACAACAACGCGTTGGAATGACATTGGTGTGCTGCTATTAGATCTGAGGGTTGCTTTCGCTGTACAGCAAGAATAAAACGCTCTCTCAAGGGTAATAATAAAGTATTTTATTGAAAACTAAGTTGTATAGAAAAAGACGTATTGACGGGGTGAGTGTTCGTTGGAGAGTCCCCTCCTCGTGTGGAGTCGCCGGCAGAAGTACCTGGTCCTTGGAGCCAATCTGCCGGGGTCGTCTTCCGGGAACCCTGGTGCGTCTGGGCGACGTCTCGCTGGTGCTCTTGACGTTGTACTTAAAAATGGGTCACTTGCGAACATGTGTACCCACAGATCGATCAGTGATTGATAGCTTGACATTCATGCTTGTGGGAAGTATTTTTGAGTACATGTAAAAAATTTAATGTGAAAATGTGTAATTTAGCCTAAAATATACTATTGCAGTAAAATTAGAGTAATAACAAGAATTAGGTAGGTACTTAGTTACATAGATTTCGGTGTAGGATCGTAGAAGACAATCTAATAGATCCATTTGTCTTGCTAGACAGATAGACAGAAGAGACATATTTAATTTTTTTTTGGGTTAAAAACCGTTAAAGTTACGCCACTGTTACGCCAAATTTTTGTCCATTTATGTTTAATCTATGTTAAAGTAATGGCAGTCAAAATACTAACATATTGTATTTTATTTAAGATTTATTGACAATATTTCAAAGATATTTTTTATGCAAGTAATTCGGAACGAAACTGAATTCTGGAAGCGCGAGCGGACCCTTTCGAAATCGTCTCGGGGGGCGCCCATGGCGGGACAATGGTATGTAGAGCAAATACCTGATAAATAAGTTAGATCTGTTGGCTTGGAAAAAACGAAACCCGACTTCTGCAAATGGTGGTACGTCCATTGTTCTCTGTATTCTATCTCTGAATAGATATCACTCTGATCGGAACTGCTGGTTGCAAAATGAGCTCGCCAGGCACGGACTGGGTGGTAAAATTACCTAAATTAAAAAAAAAATCTAAATACTTCTATAAAATATGTAACAAATATTTTGCCATTTTTTTTTATACCACCACGGACAAAATAATTCTCTTTACTAGTACACAATCCTAAATTATGAACTTACAATTAATATTTTGCATTGCGTACTAGCCGCTATTATTGGCCGTTATTGGTACTGCCGATTTAACAACGTAACACGACATGACAGAATTTCTAATGTAGATGTAATAAAATGAAGTATTTATAACGTTTATTGACTTAATTTTCTATCTAAAACGCGTAAGGGAATCTACAGAATGGAGTTAATAAAACAATTTTGCTAAATACAATATTCGCATTCTGCTAAATACTGATAATATTTCTGTATATTGTAGCTTTTACTACAACATTACTGTTCGAAATTTTTTAAATATTATTGAAAATGTTTACAATTTTTTAAATATTGTTTTGGATACGCTATATTTTGGTAGACCTTTATAGCAGCTTTCAACATTGAATACTTCGACCACATAGATGAAATTGCATATTTAAAATTTAATAAATACCATAGCATACTTCTTCATTTATTGTCATTACTCTCCGTTTTTCTCCCCATTCGTTAAATTCAGCGAACACATTTTCGTAATTTTCCCTGGATTTCGCTGGCAATGAATGGAAAATTGCTTCTTGAGCTTCTCAAAAATAACCCACAGGAACACAATCACTTTCTTGCATTTTTACCAAATTCAGATAGAACTGTTTATTAAATAATTAATTGATAATAAACAACGTACCATAGCATCCGACTCCACAAATATGATTGTGATGTGACTATGGATAAAACGTTGTATTGCATTCGTGTTTCAATTGCCTTTTATCCAGTTAAGAATATTAAACATTCTTGAGTGGATAAAATGCTACTTAAAACACTTATACAATAAATAACTGTTATACTATTTAGATAATCAAAAGCAACAACTTCCGTGTTATAATTTTTTCGAAAGCTTCTTAGTTTTTAAGGTACCTAATATAATTTTTCATTTTCTTTTCCCTCACTGTTTTTGGGACGCAATTACCAACATAACAGTCAAAACATTATTATTTTGTGCGCCACTACTCACTATTCATTTCCTCAAATATACCTACTTAATCTCATCCGTTACACTACAACACGAAACAAGTGCGCATCCCGGACACCTGTCGGATATACCTCCCGAGCCAGTCCTGCCCACCATCGCCAACATTACGACTTCATTATGTTCGGAGGCAGAAAAAGTTGTGCCCAACATTTCGTAGTTATAGACGAACGACTCCCGATGGTATCTGAGACCAGACAGTTGCTGATTGACCTTTGAATCTCGATTGAGAGATAATTTTGAGTCCCGACGCACTTGTGTGTTCGATAGATTCAGTCGATGATTGCGAGATCGTATCGATTGGTATTGTACTCGACAAATTACGTAAGGGGGCATGGGAGATTGCGGTAGCATGGGTCGTAAAACAACTTTCCTTAATCAAGACGTTCGGTCAATAAGTAATAAAATGGGACCCGTGAATGAAAATAGGTACTAGTTTGCAAGGAGAGAAATGCCGCTTTTATTTTCGTTAAGTGAATGATCATATTGGACGTCTGTCTGTGCATTTCAATATATTTTAACTCAGTGGCTTCAAACCCAATGTTTGTTTGAAGTCATTAGTCAGAGTACGTCGAAGTATATTGATATGGCGTCAAAAGACGTTAAAATAGATCAGAACGGCTTTAGGATATAGCAAAACATGTCAAGCTTGCCTCATAGTACATACAAGTTCTTCAAATTCCCTGATGGATATATTCACGCCTTCTAAGTGTGTCAATAGTGGCAGAATACATCAAACTAGTATTAGAAATATATCGAACACTTCTAATAATACCTCGAAATATATCAAAAACAACTAATTACGTGGAAATACTTCAAACAACTTCAAAATATAATAAAAACCTCCAAATACTTGTCCACTGAAGTACCCCCGAATCATTGACTCCGGAGTCACTGTTTTGTGAATCCTTTTACCTCTGCGTGTATCATCACAGAGACTGTTACAGCTGAAATAAGACAAACAAAGTCAATCAATTTTACCCCAAACGAACCAAACCTTCACCATCTACTGCCCTGCATACCCCTCACTAACCGACCACATCCAATTACTGTGACAGGTAGTAATGGCGAAAAATTACTTTTTTCACATCCCTAGTGCCAGACAGGCTTGTTTTGGGCTAAACGGACCCTACCCATGTCCAACTTTTATGACAAGCAGTGATGTCACAATAATGACTCTTTACACTGAAAATGAGTCTTCTGGAGAAGATGAAGGGGAACATGAAGAGACTTCAGAAGGAGTAAGATGGTGAATAAAAACCCGCTTTGTGAGAGGCAAAGGAACTCACGTTGAAAAAGCACCACAAAAGGAGCAGTAGTTGTTCCTGGGCAACGCCAAGAGTAGAACTAAACTAGTAGTCAACAAAATGTTTTTAGCATTCCTAATAAGATTGCACAGTTTTTGAAACTAGAACATCCTGAAACATATACAGGCCATTCATTCCGAAGAACATCGGCAACGTTAGTGGCTAATACGGGAGTTGATGTATTAGCAATCACGAGACACGGTGGGTGGAAATCAGCCACAATTGCGGAAGGTTATGTTGCTGACAGTTTAATTAGCAAAAATGAAATAGCTAACAGGATTCTTTACAGTGACACTACTTCAACTCCAGGTTCTAGTAATACGTCGCATCATTCTCTTGTAATGAATCAGTCAGTAGTAATAAATAAAAATAAAACTGGATTAATATTCCAAGATGACTCCAAAAACTACCGCAGTCGCTTGTGGACGCCGTCGCTTCTGCCGTCGCATTTCGGCGGCGATTTTTCGCCCGGCTATCAGTCTTCTCCGTCGGCACGGCCGCAGCGTGCGCGGGGTCAACTTCGTGGTGCCCGTGGCGGATCCACGCGGCTCAAAGCGCGGCCCGGAAGAGTGCGGGGCAGCGGCTTCCGCGCCCGTGCTCTCGGCATGCGGTAGTCCGCGGACGGCTCCCATTTACCATCACCGCGATGGCAGCGCAATGGATGGCCGGGCTGGACCTGGTGGAGGATACGGGGGCTGCCGGAAAAGATACCTTCGAACGGGACGAAAGAAAAAACAACAACAAAATTAAATCGTGAACAGTTTAATTTAAGCAGAATACGATCCTGTTCCGAACACTTCCGAAGGGAAACGGAGGTTAATTTCCGCTGTTCGGTTGATATTCCGTTTAGAGGTCTCTGAAATGACGTTACTGCCAGTTGATTTCACACGTGGTATAGCATGATGGGATGGTAGACAAAGAAAAAGTAGACTGTCATGTTAATCCGGTGAAACGGGAATGACCGAATACGCCATCATCGATTCAATCTGGTTTAGCATGTGGAGGAAGCAGTATTTTCGAAGGATCGAATAAGAAGTTGTTCTATAACTTAGTGACGTCTTGGTTTATTTGCCTCTCCTGCCAGACATTGTTTGTTTTTGTAATGATTGCTTCAGTCTCGACACCAGAAGCAGGTGATTTTCAAATTATACAGAGTGTAAATGATAAGTTTAGCCAAACTTTTTTTAGTAGGGACTATTTTTTCATGGATAGCTTATTCTAAAATATACCCCAGTGGCGTAGTTATTGGGGGGAGTAGGGACCTTTCTTGAAAAAAAATCGTACGCCACTGGTTTTTTAAATAATTTTAAATGTTTTTAAAATGTACCATCAATTTGTGGCAATAAAGTATTCTTGCAAAGTACTCGTAAAATTTACTGGTCTTTAGATAATTGGGAAATCAAATAAGAAGATGCTTCAGTACCTACGTTAAATGGGTAAAATGGGTAGCAAATTCAATACCCAACCCAATATTTTTGAGAGATTTCAAGACTACATCACAAGAAATGTTCAAGAAATTTGAAACTTTTAAATTTTTATAGGGCAAAAAATCAACTTTGTTGATACACCTTCCTTTTGTAAAAATGTTGTTTATACTTCTTTTTTGCAATAAATTATTATTATTATTATTATTATTATTATTATTATTAAAACTTGATTGATTTCATCGGTAGAATACGCCGTTAAAGTTTGGCTAAACTTATCATTTACGCCCTGTATAAGTTCTTAGTAATCTTTTTTGTGGAGTTAAATATCTTTTGCTTACTTAGACTTCTGCTATCAAGGTATTATATGACTTTAAGATTAAAAATATTTTAATTTATTTGAATTAAGTTCCATTTAAAAATTTTGAGTTTTCCACATTTTCTGAACTTCATATTCGACCATTTTTTTACCACCTTGTATAAAACCTGGAAAATTTTTATATCAAATCCGATAAATTAGGTCTTCTTCTCCAAAATGTCCAATTCACACAAAAAAAATAAACATGTGTTTCCGGGAATACTAAATTTTGCTGACATCTGCATCTGCAAATTTTTGCTTAAAAATCAAAATATCCCGGAAACGGTCAATTCTAAGTATGAAGTGTGTTGTATATTTTCAACTTAAAAATAAATGCTCTTTCCAAAAATGCAATAATATACAGGGGGTTCCATTTAAAATAAGAAAGTTCGTATCTACTTTCGATATAACCGGTAGTACGATGACCTTGAAAATATTTTAGCTTGGTAGGCTCAACGGCCCATATCACACCACCACAATTTCAAAAAAATCCTATGAGCGGTTTCCTAGATATCCATCGATGAGTTGATGAGACGCCCTGTATAATGGAAACAGTCCTGTTACATGTAGTGGACATTCAGTGGATATCAAAATCTGCTTTTAGTTAAGTAAATTTCATTTACTTTACTGTCATTAATAGAAAAAATTTCATTGTTTTGATGGCAAAAACGAGGTAGCTGCAAAACTTTTTTTAGTTTTTCAGATTGGTCTTTAAAATATTGTTTTCTCTATTTTAAATTTCTAATAGTGTAGCTGCCTCGTTTTTGCTACAGTCTTTAGTTCATATTTGATTCATTGTTTATTAATCTTGAAAACGAAAAAAAGGATCAAATTTTTTCTTAACTTGTTTAGTCAACAGTTCAAAATTTTTAAGTAGTGGTAAGGAGTAATAAATCGAATTTAGACAAAAGTATACAGTTAAATATAGCTTTATAATTATAATTTTTTGGCACATTTATGTTTATTATGTTTATAAAAAGTTAACGAAAATGACTGTTGCATCTGATATACTGATATACATAGTAGGGTGGCCCAAAAAAAGATTTTTTTTCGTGTCTTGTGAAAATATCTTAGTTTATCATGTTTTAAGAGCCCCCTCAAAAAATCAGCTCAAAAAAAGGTCGCTCAAGATTTTTAAAAATTTCCAAAATCGTTATTCTCGTTATTTTATCATTTTCTAGGCTGAAAAAAATCTCGATTCTAAAAATTTCAAATCGATATTTTAATTTCTAAAGGCCACTCATAATTATTTTAACTTTAAAAGTAGTGTACCTAAAATGCTTTCGAGCCACCTCTAAAAATAAATATCAACATACTAATAATATTTTTTATTGAATTTGATGAACAAAAGAATAGAAATAAATGACGACACTTAAATTTTAAAAAATTAAAATATTATAAATATATATTTTATTATAATTAAAATAAAAAAATTCAATTTTTGACGATTTTGGAAATTTTTAAAAATCTTGAGCGACCTCTAAAATTTTTTTTTACCTCATTTTTGGGGGGGGCTCTTAAAACATGATAAATTAACATATTTACACAAGAGAACACAAAAAAATATTCGTTTATTTTGGGCCACCCTAATACATAGGCTCCGACTTATTCTTTATTGGCCGTGGTGGAGTAGCAGCATGTCCGACGATCAGGTTGTCATCTCGGGTCATGGTTTGAGAGCACAGCAAGCTAGATGCTATTCTGCGTGTATTTTATACGTCATTGGCTACTAAATTAGAAGCAATTAAGCCAGTGCTTAAGGTCGCCTATGCACCGGATTGTTTTTTTACGGGAGTGGATATTAAAATAATGAATCGCCTTAATGGTGCTGTTTTTATATTGTCATATAGATATAAGTGATCGCGATGTGATGCGAACCATGAAGAAAGCTATTATTTATGAGAATTCGGTTTCCTCTTTCTCCTATATACGCGTCAAGACGAAATTTGTTCGGCTTGTCAATTTTATTGCCTCCGATTTTGTTTGGAAATTATTAAAAATGCTAAATTTGGGAGTGTGCTGTAGTTACTTTCTCGTTTCGATTCTATGGAATTGAGGTTTTTATATACGGGGTGTCCCATTAATATTGCGAAAAAATTCAGGGGGAGTTTCCTTGACCAAAAATAAGAAAGATAGTTCCTATAAACCTATGTCCGAAAATGCTTCGTTTCGGAGATACAGGGTGTTGAAGTTTAGAGAAAATACGAGGTTTTTACTAATATCTGGTGAACCCTAATTCCGATTTTTTTGAAATTTGGTATGTTTGTTTATAATAACGGTAGACGTCTCCTGACGTAATTTGATTTATTTTATCTATTCCAGTGGCGTCCGGGGACTCACTCCTGTTGATATTAATAAGTAAACATTTGAGACGTCACTGCTTTTTCTTAGGTGTCATATGTTTTTCTAATTATGCGATAAAAATACAACTTTTTGTCTCTTTACTTTTTTTTGATAATTTGCTTCGTGGAGAACCCTCCAGATATTAGTAAAAATCTTATATTTTCTCTAAATTTCAACACCCTGTATCTCCGAAACGAAGCATTTTCGGACATAGGTTTATAGGAACTTTCTTTCTTATTTTTGGTCAAGGAAACTCCCGAATTTTTTCGCAATATTAATGGGAAACCCTGTATACAATGATTTTAGGAGTGCCCCCTAGCGGGCTGTGACTTCCACCCCGTCCTAACGAAGGCGTTCCCGTCGTGCGGGCGCGCATCCCGCGGCCTCCACTTAACCGTGACTAACCAGGAAGTGCGGTCGCCGGCCGTCGCTGTCGAACCCGTGGCGCGTGATTGAATTATACGGTTGGACCGGCATCTCGCCTGTCTTCCCCGATTCGAAAAAAAGTCGGCTCGTGAAAAGTGGCCTGCCTCTGAATAATAGCCCCGCAATCATAATAGTAATAAACGGACGCGATGGCGCGAGCTGGGGCTCCGCGGGTTCGACGGGTTGGGCTCGGAAACGGCTTCTCGCGCCTTGTTAATGCCCGAGCGGTCTGGGAACGTCGTGATATCTGGCGGTGGAGATCGCTACGTCCGCGAGACACCACCCGCACAAGGTGGTCGTTCAAGTTTAGAGTTCCCAAAAGTTGTAAATGTACAATCTTCATAAATGGTTACAAGCCACGTGACCACATAGGCAACCAACATTGCACGATTGGCATTATCAACATAAAACCTTCCAAAATTATATAAATATTTTTTTGAACACCTCACTCAAGTCATCCTGATTCTAGGTTAGGTTAGGCGAATCCGACATTCTCGCTGACCTCTTGCGTTATCTTAAAATTCTCAACAAGTCCATAGGATTTAGGTCCGGCGAGCGCGCTGGCCATCTTATGGGTCCTCCTCTCCCTATCCACCGATTTGGACATTGATCGTCTAAAAATCCAGGGACATCGCGAGCAAAATGTGCCGGAGCTACGTCGTTCATATACCACATATCCCGTAGCATCTGAAAGAGAAGGTTTTCAAACAATTCTACTAAAAATTTTATAGTAATGCGGCCCATTCAGATGTTCATGTAGAAAATGCGGCCCAATAGGCCCATTCAGTGATATACAGGGTGTTCCAGATAGACCTTCAATTAGACGTTTCTGGAAAATTACGCGTACTGGAATTCTGAAAATGTATGTACGGGGGTTTCTCCTAATGTTCTATCGATTGAAAATATTGGCGTCGTCGTAGAACTTCCGGTTCTACCGGAAGTAGACGTCAACTCGCTTATTTCAAATGGAATGTACTATTTTTTATTTAATTTTTGGATTTTACATCGAATTTTAAGATAAGTTTCATAACCTTATTTTATCCTTAAACGCAATCGTTTTTGAAATATTTTGACTTTTTCAAAATTTTTGAAAAAAACATACCTACACTTAATCGGTTCTATCTCCTCCAATGTTTAAGATAGGCAGCTAAAATTTTAGA